TTTACGTTCTGTAAAGACCCGCGCATGCGCGGATTCTATCCGGTAACATGATAACGCAAATCATACACGTACAAGGTAAAACCTTCCTAATGACAGTCGCGATGAGGCTGAAGTCTGTGCGGGCAGAGAACACGTGGGCGCTGCGCCATCGTGCACGTAAAGTTGGCTTCGCCGCGTGAAGTGGAACATTTCAGGTCGCTTCGCACCACGTGACAGCGCTCGCCGAGTAGCGGCGCGAGCGGCGGAAAGAGGAGGTTTGCGCAACTCTGCTACCTAAAGGCGGCATATAGAGTATCTCTAGGTCTGAACAGCCGCGCGCGCTCGCTGACTCACCGTGTTGCGCCGCGTCGAACATCGACGTGCCCATTTGCGTGCTCCGCGCTTGGTGTGAACGCGTCTTTACGGTGATGAAATCCTGGTGCCGCCACTAGAAGGAGGAGGAGGAAAAAACCTTTATTGATGCTGGCTGTGCCAGATGGCCCTTATCCTTACCGGGCTGGTCGACATCCCTAGTCCGGGACGTCATTAGTCGAGGCCGCCACCCGAGCCCACTGGACTAGAGTTCGCTGTTCCTCTAGTGTGGAGCTATTGAGTAGGGTCGTCTCCCAGTCTTCTTTGGTGGGGTCGGGAAAGGGGGTTAATTTTGGGTTCATTTGGCAGGCCCAGACTATATGGTAAGTGTTGGCCACTTCCCCACAGTACTGGCACTGCCCACTTATTTTTTGGTCGTAATATTTGAGTATGGCTGGACAGCGCAGCGTATTTGTCTGTAGGCGCCGCAGGATGCGCTCCTCCGTTTTCGAGACTAGAAGGAAGTGTCGCGTCCCGATGAGCGTTACGCCATGGGCTGCATGCCCCGCCGCGGTGGTCTAGTGGCTAAGGTACTCGGCTGCTGACTTGCAGGTCGCGGGATCGAATCCCGGCTTCGGCGGCTGCGTTTCCGGTGGAGGCGGAAATGTTGCAGGCCCGTGTGCTCAGATTTGGGTGCACGTTAAAGAACACCAGGTGGTCGACATTTCCGGAGCCCTCCACCACGACGTCTCTCATAATCATAAGGTGGTTTTGGGGCGTTAAACTCCACATATCAATCAATCAATCGTGGGTTTCATCTATTGTGCCGTCAGCGTCAAACGAAATCCGTACAGCGGCAAGCCTTCGCGATAGTGTATAGTGCGCGTCGTCGTGTTATCACTATTGACGGGCGCGCCCATCCTGTTCGGCATCTCTGCGCATACATGCGTGCCTGGCCATCACGTGATAAGAGAACGACGCGCACTATACCATCGCGAAGGCTTGTCGCTGTTCGGCTTTCATTTGGCGCTGACGGCGTACAAACGTCATGCCGAAGTATACATCCAAGTACATCCAAGTCATTCAGTTGTGCGCTGACATGGGCGGATCCAGCCACTCATTTTTTTGAGGAGGGGAGAAAGTCCTCCTGACTTTTTGTTTTTATTAGTTATTAATTATTAATCCGTACTGCGCTGCGCAATACGATTTTAAGGACGCAGCTATGGGCAGTCCTACAGGCCCACCACGTGCGGAGAGGTTAAGCCTATCTTTCTCGACGTGGTAGCGGCCCGCTACGTGCTAGTTTACGCCCCGATAGACCTAAATAAAGTTTCACCATACCATGTACCATTAATTATTATATCAAGAACATCATCAATGCATAAATAATGTTAGTTTGTGTTCATAGAGGTGGTGCACTCATGTCATAATTAGTGATAGGAGGAAGGCGACAGGCGCTGAAGGGTTGGACGTGCCAGCAAAGTTTTTTTTTTTTTTTTTGAGGGGGCGGGAGAGGAGATCGCACCTGCCAACCCCCTTTCCGCTCAGGGTCTGCCACTTGCGTAGATGAACCAACTTTACTTTGTTACTTCTCATTAATATTGTGTCTAACAAAGAAAAAAGCACCAGGCCTGCGCGGAAGGCGCAGCACAGTCACAGCGAAAGCTAGAAGGGTGGCATTTCAGAGCCTTTTCTAAAAATTCATTGGGTAACTGCTGCAAGCAAACTTCCATGATGCCCACTATGGCATTAATAATAAAGTTTTTAGGGTAGTAGGCCGGCATTCGCTATGCTATTTTTTGTCATTCTTCTGTCATTCTTCTGTCATTCTTTAGCGTGGTATCCGCTAAACTATATCGCAAAGAATTTTGTGCCAATTGTTCATGCAGTGGCTGACGACGACGAGGAACTATGCCTGAACAGTGGGTATGCGCCACAGTTAATAGCCGAACAAAAACAAGCTTTCGTAATAGGTTGGAGCATCGGACGACCAACTCGTTACGCTATTCGCATTTTGCGACGACTGGTTGGTCTTTCCTGTTGTGAAACGCTTTACAAGTCGTATTAACGCCATCGCTTTCCCGACATCAAGCCTGCCTAAGGCAAGTTTGCCAAGAAGTCCCAAGCACAGGCGTGGCTCAATGGTAATACTGGGCGGGCACCCAGCGGACCCGGGTTCGAGCCCCTTTTTGTCATTTGTACTAGATTTTTTTTTCCAAATTTCCCGCGATGTGGATACGGACACCGGCGGCGGCGGACATCTACGGCGCTGCGCGAGATCCGAGTTCTGATATAACAGCTTTCGCTGTAAAACGAGCCCTTAAGAAAGGGACACTATACTGTCGGATACTACTGTTAGAAGTCTGTGCCATTTCCTCCTCAAAGGCGGATGCACGCAAGAATTCACCAGTGGGCACGCTATTTAGGTTGACACGTTCGTAAGCCGGACAGCCTTCGGGGAACATTGCGCAGGGTTCCCCTTTATAGGGGGTTCGTCGCAGCACTCCCGCTCCGTGTCATGTCAATATATGGGACTGGCTTTGCGTCCCCCCTCTCGCCCAAGTGGCTCAAGGATCCGTCCTTGGGCCACTTTTATTTTCGTTATATATTAATGACCGGTTAGGAGGAGACAGCAGCAGGTTAGGGGGAGACAGAAGGTTAGGTGGGCAGATGAGATTAAGAAGTTTGCGGGTATAAATTGGCAGCAGCTAGCACAGGACCGAGTTAACTGGCGGAACGTGGGAGAGGCCTTTGTCCTGCAGTGGACATAGTCAGGCTGATGATGATGATTAATGACCTCCCATTAACTCGCATACCAGTGAAGTTCTCATATACGCCGATGACAGTTGTGTTGTTATAACTGACGTCAATATTTGTGATCTGAAAACTAGAGTAAACAACGAGTCGAAAAAAGTAAGGAATGGTTTTTAGCGATCAAGCTTACGATTAACACACACACACAAAAAGAACTAAATACATGCTGTTTCAAACGCGCCAAATATGGTGTTTAATAAATCACTAGATTTACGAATAGATGGATTTACACTAGACGAAGCTACCTCACTTAAATATCTTGGCATGATATTTGATTACAGTTTGCACTGGAAAGAGCAAATAAACGCAGTTTGCTCAAATCTCGCCTCAGGATGCTACGCGCTTTCACAACGCGTCATCATTTCTATTCCAACACTTTTTGTATCTGATATTTCACACTCGTCCACAGCCATGTCACATATTGTACTCAATCATAGGATGTGACATTCAAAACTTATCTTGAACCTGTTCGCTAACTTCAGAAACGAGCCCTCAGAATAATCACCCACTCACCTTATGATCGATCGAGTTTACCTGTGTTTTTAAAATTTATATCTTGCCCTATGATAGGATACATGAATTTAAAAAAAAGACGCCACGTGTGTTTTCAATATCGTTTAAAACAACTTACCATTTGATAATTTTGCACATCCCCTCGTGTGGCTAGAAATGAAGCGTACGGAAATTTTAATCTTCCTCCAACCAGAAATACTTACTTGAAGGCGTGCGCAGGGGAACGTACGCCTTTGGTAATGAGTATGACATACGGGAGATTCGTGCCACTGTACTCGTGTCATCTGTTAAAGCGTGTTCACCACACACTCACACTCTTTTCTTCCTATATGGCAGTTTTGGTAAGTACTGTAACGGTAAGTACATGTTAAGGAGAAGATCGGGAGAGCGCCCGCAGATAGATAGATAGATAGATAGATAGATAGATAGATAGATAGATAGATAGATAGATAGATAGATAGATAGATAGATAGATAGATAGATAGATGTATAGATAGATAGATAGATAGATAGATAGATAGATAGATAGATAGATAGATAGATAGATAGATAGATAGATAGATAGATAGATAGATAGATAGATAGATAGATAGATAGATAGATAGATAGATAGATAGATAGTGGTCAATGTGCCTTTGGTCCGCGAAGACATGCTTCACATTTAATAGAAAAGGCAAAAGAAACACGGTCAAGTGGCTGGTCGATTGGAAGGTGGCACGTCACTTGAGGTCCAGCAGTGCGTGGATCACTTCTATAGTTCGCGTTTACAAAGCCTAAAGCTCCGTCGCGGAAGTGACGAGCCGCATGCCAGTCTCAAGGGACGACCGCCACGACCACGTCGGTCTGGTGACACCGTCACATCGCGAAGCCTAAACGCTCCGTCACGAAGCGAGTCACCCAGGCGGCGCCAGATTGCACTGGTGGGGGCGCCACCGCCGAGGACCCGCCCGCGGGTTGCACAGAGTGCACGGCCAGGGTGCAGACGTCATATGTCCTGCACGGCACCCGCGAACAGTATGAGGTCCGTGTCCTGCGTCTTGAGGATGTATATGAACGAACGGGCGTTGGCCGCGTCGCGGTACGCCTTGGGCAGCTCCTCGGTGTAGAAGCTTGTGAGCGAGAGGGAGACCGCGGTGGCCGCCGTGACGCCCGCGGAGTCCAGCGTCAACGTCACCTTGTGGATGATGTCGGAGACGAACAGGTTGTGGCCGACGCCGTTCAGGTTGGCGCGCTCGTCGAACAGGTCGAGGAAGCCCATGTGCTTGAGCACGTACGCGGGCTGCACCGTCTCCTCCAGGTGCAGCTTGGGCACCAGCACCTGCTCGCAAATCGTCATCATCACCGTCATCACCACCACCATCATGATCACATCATCATCAGAGTCAAATAACCATCATCATGGGCAGAAGCAAAAGCCTCACTACGCCTAACGCAACAAGATACCTCTCCAATGTTCCGCCAACAAGCCCGATCTTGTCCTTGCTGCTACAACGTGCCAGCGTGACCTCTCCCTGTAGAGAGAATGGGCGCGTAACTACGCGAAGTTGTGCGCTTTCTCGCTCAGGCCTTTAGCCTCATCTGCCGAGCGAACCTTATGCCTCCCACTTGACGCGTTTGCTTACTCTTGGTTACTCTTGCCTTCTCTATTAGTCTTGTTGAAGAGCGGTCATGTTGCCTTATCGAAAGAGAGAAACAGCTTTACTAAAGTTGTTTCTCTCACTACATAATTCTTCCTCTCCTTTTGACTTCGACTCATTTTCCTTTTTCCTTTTGATTCCATTTGACTAAGATGTCGGTTGTACCCGAATTGAATATCCGTTTGTTCCCTGACCTACTCTTGCCGCTTGAAGATCATTTTCCTTTCCATGGCTCGCTGCATCGTTCTCGGTTTACGTTGAGCTGTTTCCGTATAAGATTCTGTCCCGTAATTAGCTCCCGTATTCATAAACACTCCTTGAACCGATTGACTTGAAACGCCTTCAATGCAGCGCGTTTGAAAAGTGTCTGTGCGTTTGAGCTGCCTTGCACCACCTAAAGAAAGCGCGTTCGAAACGAGTTTGTGCTGCATTGAAGTAGGTGGCAAGTCAAATCAGGCAGCGTTTCTGAATACGGGTATTAAGTGTGTTCATGATCACTGTAACATTGCGGCGATGGCGTAGTGGTTAGAGCATCCGCCTCTCATGCAAGAGGTCCGTGGTTCAAATACCGGTACCGCGCAGTTCCCAACCGAATTAAAAAAAAAAATCCGCGTGTTGATGGAACTGCATTAAGAGGCCTGGGGTGCGGCCTCACCGGCAAACACCGCCGAGAACGCACTCCCTCACCAGAGAAGGATTGGCCACCCTGGTGCAGTATCTGGCCACTACCTCCCACATGCTTACGTCAAATAACTCACGGCCCTCAGTCCCCAGCAGCTGCGAAGCAACTGACCACGGCGGCGGTCAGATCTGCAACGCAGCAGAGGGTGCTAAGAATCTCTGGATCCGGACAGGCCGCCATTGGAACCTAAACTTGGCAACGTTTAACGCTAGAACCTTATCTAGTGAGGGAAGTCTAGCTGTACTATTCGAGGAGCTATAGGGTGTTAAATTGGATATAATAGGGCTCAGTGAGGTTAGGAGGACAGATGAGGCCTATACGGTCCTACAGAATGGGCACGTCCTTTGCTACAGGGGCTTGGCAGACAGAAGAGAACTGGGAGTGGGGTTCCTAATTCACAGAAACATAGTTGGTAACATAGAGGAATACTATAGCATTAATGAAAGGGTGGTAGGTATCGTAATTAAACTGAATAAAAGATACAAGATGAAGGTAGTACAGGCTTGCGCGCCTACATCCAGCCATGATGACGCTTCAGTTGAAAGCTTCTATGAAGACGTGGAATCGGCAATGAGTAAGGTAAAAACACAGTATACTATAGTGATGGGCGACTTTAATGCAAAGGTAGGGAAGAAGCAGGCTGGAGACCAGGCAGTAGGAGATTATGGCATCGGTACTAGAAACGCCAGAGGAGAGCTACTAGTAGATTTCGCAGAACGCAATAATTTACGAATTTTGAATACCTTCTACCGAAAACGAGAAAACCGCAAGTGGACATGGAGGAACCCTAATGGCGAAAATAAGAACGAAATAGACTTTATAATGAGTGCACACCCTGGAATCGTGCAGGATGTGGAAGTGATTGGCCAGGTACGATGCAGTGACCATAGAATGGTACGGTCTCGAATTCGCCTAGACTTGAAGAAGGAACGACAGAAACTGATACGCAAGAAGCCAATCAATCAGCTAGCACTGAGAGGGAAAGTACAGGAATTCAGAGTGTCGCTGCAGAACAGGTACTCGGCTCTTAGTGAGGAAGGAAACCAACCTTAGCGTAGATACAATGATTGATAATCTGACGAGTATCATTACGGAGTGTGCAGTGGAAGTTGGAGGCAGGGTAGTTAGACAGGACACTGGCAAGCTTTCCCAGGAAACGAAGAACCTAATTAAGAAGCGTCAAATCATGAAAGTGTCAAGTACAACAGACAAATAGAACTGGCAGAGCTTTCGAAGTTGATTAATAGACGTAAGGTATGCGATGTAAGAAGGTATAACATGGAGAGAATTGAACACGCTCTGAAAAACGGAGGAAGTGTCAAAGCATTGAAGAGGAAACTTGGGATAGGCAAAAGTCGGATGTATGCACTAAGGGACAAAGAAGGCAAAATAACTACCAATATGGATAGGATAGTTAAAATAGCGGAGGAATTTTACAGAGATCTGTACAGTAGCCGAGACAACCACGACCTTAATACTATAAGAACTAGCAGTAACCCAGATTACACCCCACCAGTAATGATAGAAGAAGTCAGAAAAGCTTTGGAGAGCATGCAAAGGGGCAAAGCTGCTGGTGAGGATCAGGTAACATCAGATCTGCTGAAAGATGGAGGACAGATTGTGTTAGAAAAACTAGCCACCCTGTTTACGAGGTGTCTCCTGACGGGAAGAGTACCAGAGTCTTGGAAGAACGCTAACATCATCTTAATACATAAGAAAGGAGATGACAAGGACTTGAAGAATTACAGGCCGATCAGCTTGCTCTCTGTAGTATACAAGCTATTTACAAAGGTAATTGCTAACAGAGTAAAGAAAACATTAGAATTCAATCAACCAAAGGAACAAGCAGGATTTCGAACAGGCTACTCAACTATTGACCACATTCATACTATCAATCAGGTAATAGAGAAATGCTCTGAGTATAACCAACCACTATACATAGCCTTCATAGATTACGAGAAGGCGTTTGATTCAATAGAAATATCAGCCGTCATGCAAACACTGCGGAATCATGGCGTAGATGAAGTATATATAAACATTCTGGAAGAAATCTACAGGGGATCAACTGCTACCATAGTGCTTCATAAAGAAAGCAACAGAATACCAATCAAGAAGGGTGTAAGGCAGGGGGATACAATTTCCCCAATGCTATTTACCGCGTGCTTACAGGAGGTTTTCAGAAGCCTAGAATGGGAACAGTTAGGGATAAAAGTCAATGGAGAATACCTTAGTAACCTGCGCTTCGCCGATGACATTGCATTGCTGAGTAACTCGGGGGACGAATTGCAACTCATGATTACGGAGTTAGACAAGGAGAGCAGAAAGGTGGGTCTTAAAATTAATCTGCAGAAAACGAAAGTAATGTACAACAACCTCGGCAAGGAGCAGCGCTTCGAGATAGGTAATAGTGCACTTGAAGTTGTAAAAGACTATGTCTACTTAGGGCAGGTAATAACCGCAGAGCCTAACCACGAGATTGAAGCAACTAGAAGAATAAGAATGGGTTGGAGCACATTCGGCAAGCACTCTCAAATTATGACAGGTAGATTGCCGTGCACTATCCGTCAAGAGGAAGGTATATAACAGCTGTATCTTGCCGGTACTTAGCTACGGAGCAGAAACCTGGAGGCTTACAAAGAGGGTTCAGCTTAAATTGAGGACGACGCAGCGAGCAATGGAAAGAAAAATGGTAGGTGTAACCCTTTAGAGACAAGAAGAGAGCAGAGTGGATTAGGGAACAAACGGGGGTCAAGGATATCATAGCTGAAATCAAGAAGAAGAAATGGACGTGGGCAGGGCATGTAGCGCGTAGACAGGATAACCGCTGGTCATTAAGGGTAACTGACTGGATTCCCAGAGAAGGGAAGCGGGTTAGGGGGAGACAGAAGGTTAGGTGGGCAGATGAGATTAAGAAGTTTGCGGGTATAAATTGGCAGCTGGAAGCACAGGACCGGGTTCACTGGCGGAACATGGGAGAGGCCTTTGTCCTGCAGTGGACGTAGTCAGGCTGATGATGATGATGATCATCACTGTCGTTCATGATCTAGGAATTCGGATTGCACGATATCCCAGATAGCACGTTTATTTTTTACACAAACGTACCAACAAAGTTCTGCCTTATTGCATTACATTACCCCCAATTATTGGCCCTGTATTGATACCGCATCATCGTTCAAGTGCGAAATTCTTTGAGCTCCCGTTGTCTGCGACCTTCTAGTGACATTGATCCATAAGCTAGAGCCGTTATCGGGGCTGATACGCGCGATCATCCCGTCATAAATCATGACATCGAGGGAGCCTGTCACAAATTACAAGCAAGGCACACGCTAAAAAGTTTTCGTCCTGAAAGGGCTTTTTGCACCTCCAAAAGACGAAATGTGCGTAGAAGATTTCACTCGGAACGGCAAGGAGGGCCACTTTCCTCCTTGTGGAGTAATGTGCCCCCCCCCCCTTTTTTTTTCTTTTTGTAACTGCAGAAATGTTGGTGCCATGTGCAGATGGTCCATTGGTGCCTACACAAGCCTCTTTCCTTTCAGATGGTAGCGTATATAGTATGGTGTGGTGTAGTTAGTGTACGCGCATCCTGACAGTGAGTGCTCGTGAGTTCGAATCCCGTGTGTACGCTGCAAGTTTTCCGAATTTTATATCTGAATGTGATGCTCGCACATAGATTGTACACCTAATCAAATACCTGCTCGCTCTTCGGAAGGCTGGCTGAGCCAACGAAAACATTTTCCTTTTGCTAACTATTCAGGAGTGAGCGTGATTACTCCTTCGCATTTACTCCTAAAATGGTGCACTGGGTGTGATAGGTTAGTTACTCCTCTAAAGGAGCAACCTCGACACCCCTTTTCCTCCCTTACTTTTTAAAGTGCAGTACCTGGTCTGTTCAGGACCGAGTAACGTACTCTGGTTAATGCCTAAACAAGGTATCTAAACAACATACTATATATATTGTTTTCGAATGAATTGAGCCCGTTGACTAGGTATATTAGTTGCAATTATATAAATCCAGTGCCGCCTGCAAGTGTCAAAGCTTACTATCTGTTTCAACGAAGCCATGGCGCCGACAACGCAGGTGCAAAGAGAGAGGACAGAAAGCGCACGCCCTGTGATTTTTCCTCGGATCCTGTGTTTTCGGCGCATTGGTTTCATTTAATTAATTGAGCTAAGTGGCCCAGATGCCTGTTCT